TTACCTGCAAATGCCATGATTTTATTCTCTTTTAATGCTGAGTACTATTCCATTGTGTATATATTCCACATTTTCTTTATCCATTCATCTACTGAAGGGCATCTAGGTTGGTTCCACAATTTAGCTATTGTGAATTGTGCTGCTATGAACATTGATGTGGCTGTGTCCCTGTAGTATGCTGTTTTTAAGTCCTTTAGGTATAAACCGAGGAGTGGGAAAGCTGGGTCAAATTGTGGTTCCATTCCCAGTTTTCCAAGGAATCTCCATACTGCTTTCCATATTGGCTGCACCAATTTGCAGTCCCACCAGCAACGTAGGAGTGTGCCTTTTTCCCTACATCCTCACCAACACTTATATACTCTTAATAGCTGCCATTATGGCTGGAATGAGATGAAATCTTAAGAGTAGTTTTAATTTGCATTTCTCTAATTGGTAGAGATGTTGAACATTTAGAAATGATCCTGTTTAAGATGAAAATGAATGCTGTTCAAGTGGCATGACTGCTTCAAATTTTGTGTGGAATGAAAGATGGAACAACTAATCACAAAAATTTAGGATGAAAAAACTAAAGGATGTAATTTCACAGAGTAGAAATATGAATTTCTGCTAAATGAGGTCTGACTATCTAGATACACACTGGCTAGCTCAAGAGGAGAAAATTCGATGATGAGGTGAACAGCAACTGTGCACAGCAGAAGTATAATGAACAAAAGCTTCTCTACTCTCTCTCTTGGTCCTTTTTGTCTATTTATTCTCAATATTCCTGTCTTTTTTTTTTTTTTAAGATTTATAGGCTTTATCTCAGTGTCCTTGCATGATAGAGTAAAAAATCATAGATTTGGACTGAAACATGCTAAATATTTAGGAGGAAATATGTCACTGCATAATCTAACGAATGAGTGGCACTAAATACAAGCAATAAGAGATGATTGATGAATAAATGCCTCCATCTGCAAGGGATTTATTATTGGATCCATCCAATCATGCCCCAATGCCATCAATAAGAGACTCATTTCTTTTTGCTTTTTKCAGTACTAGGGACTGAACCCAGGGGCATTTTATGACTGAGCTATATGCCCAATCATTTTTTATTTTGAGATAGGGTCTTGCTAAGTTGCCTAGGCTGGCCTTGAACTTATGATCCTCTTGCCCTGCATCAGCTTTCTGAGTTGCTGGGATTACAGGTGTGCACACTGTGCCTGGCAGAAAGAAAGTCTGGCTAAACATTTTTCCTCTGCTAAAAAAAAAAAAAAAAAAAAAAATCCTTTACTAGTTGCCTGTTACTTGCAAGGTACAGTTCAAACAATTTAACATGGCAAAATTCTAGGACAGTACTCCCAAAACCTTAAAAATACTTCCCAATCACAATGCCTTTTCTTTTCTTTCTTTTCTTTTTTTTTTTTTAGAGAGAGAATTCTTTTCTTTTTAAACACTTATTTTTTAGTTGTAGGTGGACACAAAACATTTATTTTATTTTTATGTGGTGCTGAGGATTGAACCAATGCCTCACATCGTATGCCAGGTGAGCGTTTTACTGCTGAGTCACAGCCCCAGCCCTCATAATGCCTTTTCTTTTTCTTTTTTTAAAATATTTTTTAGTTGTACACAATACCTTTATTTTGTTTATTTATTTTTTTGTGGTGTTGAGGATTGAACCCAGGGCCTTGCGCATGCCAGGTGAGCGCTCTACCTCTGAGCCACAACCCCAGCCCCTCACAATGCCTTTTCTAAGAAAACTAATTTCAGATCTTAATGGTTTTCAAAATCAAGTACTTCAGAAAAACAGGACTTCAGAGAAATGAGCTCTGCTCTCCAGACTATCTAGAAGTCCAACTCACCTTTGGCTTGTAGCAGGATTTCCTGGGCTTGGATGACAGTGTGGTTGAAAGTAAGGGGAAATGCACCTCTCCCCTATGGTTCCAGGCCTCCTGTCTCTTCTGTTGCATTGTATTGTGTCAGCTTCCTTGCCTGTATTGCCCTTCTACACTAAAAGCCCTATGAAGATAGGGACTGAGCAGGGCCAGGATTTGGAACAGTGTCTCTTGTATCAGATATTCAATAATTATTTGTTAAGTGAATGATTAAAAAACCCTTGAAACCTGGAGACACATGCAGAGTAGCAGAAAAAAGAAATGAATATCTTGGTTTTCATCTTCATAAATAAACTATTATTATGATTCCAAGTAAAAAACTCTCTGGATCTTCTCCCTGATGAGCAAAAAGGTGAGACTGGATTGCTAAGGGTTYCTTGAGCATTATAATTCTATGTACATGCATAAAGCATGTTTAAAATTATTAAACTATTAARTGACAACTAGAATTCAAATACAAATGAACATTAGCTCCTTTAGACATGTACAAGTTATTCATTTAACTATAAAAATCAACTTTGAGTCTTTTTGTTTGTAATTTAAAGCGAAACCAAAGTTTTCTTTAAAAATTCACAAAAGCAACATATATTTAATACTAAAAATAATTTTGAAATCATTAATGGGAAGGGTAATAACAGACAATCATGCAAAGACAACCACTACTATTTTCTGGATATAAATTTTTCCAARTGTTCCAACATTTCCTGTATGTCTACATTTTTTTCCTTTATACAACCCATGCTATTCTACACCAATAATGTTTATTTTACTTAAAACAGTATGAATTAGCTCCCCCACGACCTCCTGCTTTTTTTTTTTTTTTTTTAACTGAGTTCCTAGGCTGGCCTTAGACTTGTGATCCTCCTGAGTTCCTGGGATTAAAGGTGTGTGCCACTGTGCCCAGCAGTAGTGAATTTTTTTTGGAGCAAGATTGCATTTTCTTTTCTTTTTCTTCTTTTTTATATTAGAGATTAAATTCAGGGCTTTGTACAAATTAGGCAAGCACTCTACTAACTACATTCCCAGTCCTTTTAATTTTTAGGATCTTGCTTATTTTTGTAAAGACTGGCCTTGAATTTGTGATCCTCTGCTTTAGCCTCCTGAGTTAATGGGATTATTATTATTATTTAAATATTTATTTTTTAGCTTTAGGTGGGCACAATATTTTATTTTTATGTGGTGCTGRGGATCGAACCCAGTGCCTCACGCATGCCAGGCGAGCGCACTACTACTTGGGCCATATTCCCAGCCCACTGAGTTAATGGGATTATAAGCATGTCCACCACACCTGGTACTAAAGCTGCATTTTTTTTTTTTTTTTTGGTGTGTGTGGGGGGATATTGGGGATTGAACCCAGGAGTTCTTTTACCATTGCCCTTTTTATTTTTTAAGACAGGGTTTCACTAGTTTGCTTAGGGCCTTGCTAAATTGCTGAGGCTGCCATAGCCTCTGGAGCAACTGGGATTTCATTCATGTACTGCTATGTCTACATTTTTTCCTTTATACAACCCATGCTATTCTACACCAATAATGTTTATTTTACTTAAATGTTTATTTTACTTTTCTCTTTGGTAGCAGATTCCCATCCTTTTGATAGTAGATATATACTCAATGGAAGAATCCAAAAGTTACTGGGGTTTAAGTCTAGTGATTAAAATGAAAGATCAAACTATGCATCATTATTTTTTATCTGAAAGCCTCTGACTATACAGCAAAGTGACCCAAAATGTCTGAATAATATTATAGTAGGAATTCCAAACTGTAATGGGCGATTGGTTCATTACCAAACTAAGTATATTATTTCCCAAAGAGACAACAATAAAGGGGAAGAACTAAGTCAGGTGATAATGCCTTCTTGCGATTTACAATGTTACAATCATATATCACTCACATGCATAAAAATTTTGAATAGGTGAGTCAATCAATTCATTTAAAATAGATGTACTGATTAACCTAAAACTTTAATATTTGCAATAATTTTTCAGTATCATGTTCTCATAAACACTTATTTATCACTTGAATGKTACTTCATATACATTATCTTTTTAATTTTCACACCACCACCACAAATATAAGTATTATTCTCCCCATTTTATAGATCAGGAAATGGAGACTCAGAGGAGATAAGTGATTTGCCCAAGGTAACAAAGCCAATAAAAGGCAGAGTCAAGATGTCAATATAGATCTGTTTAGCTTTATTTATATATTTATTATTATTATACTGGGGATTGAACTCAGGGGCACTTGACCACTGAGCCACATTCCCAGCCCTATTTTGTATTTTATTTAGAGACAGAGTCTTACTGAGTTGCTTAGCGCCTCACTGTTGTTGAGGCTGGCTTTGAATTCAAGATTCTCCTGTCTCAGCCTCCTGAGCTGCTTGGATGGCAGGTGTGCGCCATGGTGCCTGGCTCTGTTTAGCTTTAAACACCATATCCTTTTCATTTTCTGACCCTCATATACCACCTTTGAATAATTCTTAACTGTATCATTATAGAGTGGTGGTTTGATTCTTAACTGCTATGCTTAAAATTTCTTTTTTTTTATAAAAAACATTTATTTTTTAATTGTAGCTGGACACAACCTCTATTTCACTTATTTATTTTTATGTGGTGCTGCGGATAGAACCCAGGGCCTCACACGTAAGAGGTGAGCACACTACCGCTGAGCCACAATCTCAGCCCTTAAAATTTCTTAATGACTATCACTATGGGGGAATAATCCTACTCTTTATTTAACCTAGAAGTAGACTGAACAAAACTGAAGGTATTGCTTATGAATAGGCTCATTTATATTGTTGAGGAAAAAAACTGGAAGTAACTACAAAAACCCATTTATTCAATTTGAATAAAGTAAATATTGACACTAGAACTTATTATAGTCAATGAGACTTGTCTGGCAAGTGAGTCACATTTTAACAATAACCGTACTAAAAGTGAAAAAAAATTAAAACAGTAAGTTAAATAAAAGGCTAATAAAAATTGGAGGAAACAGCTCTGTGTTTTCTTTTAAACCCCGTTTAACACCAAAGGTATGTTTGCCTAAAGAGTCATTTCAAGCAAAGATTATTAACAACTGAATAGTAGAATCAGCACTAAAAATTTCAATGATGTCCAACTCAAACATGCATAGGGAGAGTAAAGTTATTTTATTAAATCATGCACATCACGTGTGTTAGTGCAAATAGTTTAATCTGTACTCCAGAAATTCTATTGTACTTTTATATCTTTACAAAATAGATTTCAAACAATTATTTACTTTAAAAAATGTAATTCTGAAGTTAAGCATTTCAGAACAATATTTGCAATAACCTATATACAAGAGGTACTGGGTACCACTGGCATATTAGCATTCTGTGGTGAAGTGGCTTCCTGCAACAGAAAATGATGAAAATGAACTATATGACAGTATTTTCTATAAGTCGTTTGTGACTAATTCCTCCATAAATCTAGTGATCCTCCCAACAGCAATCCCAAATAGCTTAAAATATAACCTTTAAGTATAAACAATAACTGCCAAACATCACAAGGCAAATTATATCCTAAACTCCTATTTCAATATTTGGCTAGACCTGTGAATTCCCACAGAACCTTCAAGCCAATTCACTGATATTCCCTCCCAGTCTTTACTGACTGAAAATTTTAACTATGTGATACTTTAGGATATTCTATGACCTAAATAAACTTTATTGACATAACTATGGTGYTGCACAAAACCATAGCTAAAATTTGACTTCCGTGTTTTAAATTTATAAAATCAAGCAGTGTTTAGATGCTTCACTGTGCATGGAACACTATCAATCTTGGGAATAGTGCTTCTAATTAACAGAAAGTTCCAATTAATAACAATAAAAAGAAAATAACCACTTGCATACCCAACCAGGAAACCTGTTGTTAAGTTACAGCTCACCTTGAACATGAATTAGCTCTGAAACATCATAACCAAATTAAGTCAATAAAAGCTTATCTAAAGAGATATAATTCTTTCTTCAATGAAACATGCTTGGAGGAACAGATGATAGAAAAAAAAAATCATGCTTCCTAAAGTGTTGTATATGAGAAAGTAACTTGGCTTGTAAAGAAAATATCTCTTTAAATATATGAGGTTTAATAAAATTACATTCCAATTGACTCAACAGTTTGGTTGACTGCACTGAAATTGTGTAATTACTATGTTTTGCTCCCAGAAATACTTCAGGTTGCTCAAGAAAATACACACTCTCATGGAAAGCTTTTCAAAGTTGATGTCCTCCACATCTTCAAGTCACATTAAGGCAGAACAAGCGTGCACATACTCCCCAAATGATCACTAAAACGGAATATTTTCCAAATGTTTTTTTTCCCTTAAAAACAAAACAAAACAAAACAAAACAAAAAACCCACACAAAGAGTTGTCTCTAAGTCTTGTTCCCAATAGCTCAGTGGTTTTATAACAAGTAAAAATGGCGTAAATATGTAAAAAATATATATATATGTGCATATATTTCAAACTGATAGGCACTGAGTACACAGGGCCTCTCTTCCCATGTATGTATAGGTTGTTTGGTTTGGGTAGTTATCGAATCAGAAAAATGAATTATCTGGCCATCAGAATTCAGAGTAAAATACCCATAAATTTAATGGTATAAATAATTTGGTGTACCAAGAAGCCTACATTAGGCCACCATAATATTCAGAATCTCAACATACTTTTTAAAAATTACATGAAAAATTGCAAGCAAATTATTGCTTACAGTAGAATAAACTCACAATTTTATATTCTCTCTATAGACAGATACATTTTATATAATTTAAAGCAATGACCCTACAGTTGTATTCTTGCACTTCTGCTGTTTTAAGAGGTAAAAAAGAAGAAAATGGTTCTGTTTGTCCCCAGCATGAGTGTGATGCCAGCTTCTAGAGGGAGGACGGTGTACGGACTCAAGAAACGCTCTCATGGAGAAGCTCTGGCCAGACCTGGCACATACAGCACGATGGCTGTCACCGCAACCAGGGCAGCCAACATGGGCATCCAGGGCCAGGGTTTCTGTGTGGAAAGAAACCAAGAGTCAATATCACATTCTCCCCTCTCTTTTCATTCCTATTAACCCCTTGGTTCCACAGAGTCCTGAATACTTAACAGAATACTGGAAAAATTTTATCTTTGCATTTTAAGAATAAAGTATAAAAAGAAAGGAAAAGAAAAAAAGGAGAGAAGGAGTGCAAGTATAAGGAGAGCTATGTAATAGCAGGGTCATTATTTGGAGGCCTAATACTTCCCAGAGAAGTCCTGGGCAGTTCTCAACTTTGTTATAGTTGACATATAGTAGTGACTTCTAAAAATCCTTTGGTGTTGGCCTGCTTTATTTACTCTGGTACCCACAGATTCCAATATAACTGATGTACATATAACCAATGCCTGTAGTATGTTTCTTCCTAAAATATTTATTCTTTTATGAAAATAAGGCTCAGCTGTTAGGATAGTTATACAGTGCCTGGTGACTTAGGTGATAGAAAAAAATGGTCTAGGCTTTGATCTTCTAACTTAAAACCAACGAAGACAAAACCACATAGGTTCAAGATGGGGAAGTGCCATTATGGACACTGCCTATCTGATACTTCTGATAAAGACCTTGTCCAATGTAATAAAGTCATTAAAGTCATATGATCCATGTCATATATTCTRCTAATATGCATGCCAGTTAGAGGCAAGTATGAATGGGCTATTTCCTGTTAACTTTTAGAAGGCTTTATAATGAAACTTGCTTTGATTGATACCTTTATTGTTCTAAGAGTCTTGTTGAAGAAGTTGGTTTTCAAAGAAATATTCTGATTTGCAGATCAGGACTCAGAAAAAAATATGGGATAGGGCTCAGATCCCTACAGGTAAATTGTATTTGGGTTTGAGATTGTGAGCCAATAGTTCATTATGCCAATTTCATTCTCTTTCATCTTCATAGCTAAAGTGCAAACAGGCAAAGGGTTGAAACAGAGAAACGCTATGCTATGAAAGGTAAAGGAGAAAGAAGAAGGGGGAGGAAAGCTGGCTGAAGACTTCAAAGATGCAAACTCTTCATTTCTCATTCAAATCTGATTAAACACATAATTGGGAAGGGGTACTAATGTAGAAATTCACTGTTTACTCCAGTTTGCTAAAGATAAAGACTTAGTTAAAGGAAGCATATTAACAACTGGTTAGGTTGGAATTAACTCATGGTTAGCATTACTACAAAGGAAACAAGACAAAATGTTATGTGATTAGTTGATTGTTCATTCACTGGTATGACACAAATACATGGCATACTAAATGAAGGGTTTGCTTCAGGTAACAAAATATCAGTGTGGTTTTGCCATGCACTATATTACAAATATGGCACAAATAGGTGACGGGGACAAACAGACAAGGACTCAACAGTATTGCTTGTACCTTTCTCTACCACAATGGACCGAAACACCAAAACAGGAAAGCCAGGAATAGGCCGATGAATACGGCTGGGACGGGTTGTAATATGGAAGGCTAAAGAAGGGAAGGGATATTAAAATCATTTTATGCTATGAAAAAAATCAGATAAGATGRTTTAGACCCCAGGAGGGTGGGAGGAAGGAAAGGAAGACTGAGGTAATAGAAATAAACCACTCAGGTTTTGCACTGATTCAAACATTTTAAAGACATCTAACACAATCCAGAATGATGGACTGTGGTGTGCATGTTGGCAAACTACCACTTTAAAAAGAACATCTGAAGACAACAATTGTGGGTGTCCCTAACACTCAAATGAAACCTAGCACATTAACAAGTCAGAGCACTGACAACACTTCACCAACTGATGCTCTATTTGACAGTATATTAATTTTGTTCTGTATCTGAAACCCATTACTCGATAATGCACTCCTTTTGCAAAAGCTAATGTTTATTTTATCCCTCTATCAAAGACCTTTTGCTTTTTTCCCAACCCTAACTCTAGTTAATGAGCTAATACTACTTTCAAGCTTAAAAATAAATGCCCTGTGATCATGTGTACTTCTTGAATCAGGCAAAAGATGTGTCACAATGTATGAGAAAACACTTGGCATATAACAGAAAGGCAACTGAGTCTCAGGGTTTTCATACTAGAATATAATTGAATTTTTAAATGTAAAGAGATTACTTAGAACCATAAATTCAGTATGACAAAAAAGGGAAATTCACCCCCAAGGTGGATTTTTTTTTAAACAACATAAATAGTAACAACATGGTTACTTTTGAAGATTCTAAATATATAGGGAGATCCATTCTGATTACGTTAGATGTCTTCATAGGTTAATTTAGCAGGAAGTGGACTAAAATTTCATCATCAGAGGGATATGAATATAAAAAAAAGAGTAGTAATTAAATCATTATGATCTGATTTTAGGATAATTCTATAATCTACATTTGAAAAAACAAATGCAATCCATTTTTGCTAGCAGAAAGCCTTCACATCCAATTTATCAATTTCTAAAAGGCTTCTATCAAAGCAACAATCCTTTACTGTTTAAATCTAACATATGCTTAAGCAAAGGACAGCTGGACACAACTCATGAGCATTCTGTGTACAACTGTGTAACTGGATGGCCATGCAACATCACTCTTGTACTTGTGCTGTAAGTTAAGCAAAGTGCCTTCCTCCATGGAAGCATGTGGCTCATGTCCACTACAGTGTCCAAGCCATGACAGAGTTTGAAATAAGTCAGAGCACAACCAACCACACTGAACATCCATCAATTAGGGCCCACAAAGGCAATGATCACCAAAACGTACAACATGACATTTATTTAGTATAACATGTTTATAAAGACCTTTCTAGGAAATAAAAACAAATATTGTCAAACTCAATTCATATCAAAACATTCTCCCACCTCTGCCTGTCTGCTTTTCTCTCTCTCTTTCCCATATATATACTTTCTCTCTCTCAGCCCTACAGAATTTCACTGAATATTTCCTAATACTTACAAAATGCCAAAGATACACTGAGCTTTTAAGGAATGTGCCTTAGTGAGAACATTATTAGTATAAAATGAAAACCATCTCAAATTTCCCCTTTTTAATACAATCAAATGCTAAGGATCAATATGTAGTACTTTTTCTTAAATGGGTCCCTGATGTGGTATAGTGCTTCATCCCAGCAAGAAATAAATATGAACCAGATGATAGAACTTCAGTCTCATCTGAGAAAAGCTGAAAGTTCTTAGGTAAATTGTTTTATTGCAAACAAGGTTCTTCCTCCAGGCAGTCTTCAAGCTCTTATAGGGCATAAGTGAAAAGGGATAAATTCTTACTAAAAAATCCAACAGCACAATGATTCATCATAGAATGTCATAATGAAGAGCATATTTCATCTATACCCAAGGCCAATTAGTTTCTCAAATCATCAATAAAGTCCTATGAATATCAATTTCAAGTCTCTCACCTTCCTCTCAATTAAAGCTAAGCCAAGTTGGCAAAGACTTACATTATTTCCTTTCTCTCGGAGCAGCTTCAGGTTGTCTTTACATTGTTTGAGCTCATCTGTGATTGATTGTTTTTCCTGCTCAGTCATTTCAAACTTCAACTTCAGTTCTGAGAGTACAGTCTGTGTCTTTTCATACTAAAGGCAAAGAAAAAAGAGTGTGCAGACTTGACTTAAAATGGGTATGAAGTAATGGTTCTAGTCAGGCTTATATACCAGATCCCATTTAGTCACCTTCGACACCAAAGTCAAGCCTTTTTGTTTTAAGGAAGATGAAAATAATTTGAAATCATAGTAAGAAGTCCTTAACATTGACTTGATTCTATGTAAGAATTTTCTGGCCCTAGAGTTAAAAAAAAAAAAAAAAGTGAACAGAAGACATTATTTTGTCATCTGTTTCTAATATAAAAGGTCACTTTTTCCACCAAGTGAGTTATGGGAGAAAAGGGAAATTTCAAACTGAGCAAAAGAAAAGCAGGTGAAAAAAATATTCATTGCCTAGTTAAATGGCAATGTTAGGAAATCTGAGTTTATATTCTAGTAAGTAAGCAATGTCAGCCAAGCTATTTTAGTTTTGAAGTTAAAAAAAAAMMAAAAAMCMAAAAACTTCCAACAGATCTCCTTTTATCCAGGTATTAAAGTGTCCTGGCTAAGTGATTGTTTTTCCCCCCCTTAAAATCTATCAACATTAATTAAAAATGATTTTAACAGGGCTGGATTGTGGCTCAGTGGTAGAGCACTCGCCTAGCATGGGTGGGACCCAGGTTCGATTCTCAGCACCACATAAAAATAAAGGCATTGTGTTGTGTCCATCTACAAAAAAAGATATTCTCTCTCTCTCTCTCTTAAAAAAATGATTTTAACATCTTTGTTTCTGATAGAAATTTTTCTATAGAGAAAATGCCACTTTCTAGTTTGAACATGGTTCAAACGTTTATAATATAAACTTATATCCATATAAAATATGTAATACATAGCTATATATGACTGACTTTCAGATAAACTATCCCTAGAAAACAGGTGAGACCAATGTAATATAGTGTTGTTTGCCCCTACTTTAAATATCCCTAGAAAGCTGGTCTTCTAAACTGTTTCCACTTCTAGATATTGCATCTTACATACAAAYTGGGCTCCCAAAGAGAAGACTGTTCTGTTGGGCATGCCTTTGTCTCTGTATCCACTGCCCCCTTTGCCATCTCTGAATGTTTTAGAAGGAAGACAGAAAGACAAGGACTACAAAATAAATACACAATGGGTATAGATTGTCAGAAAGGTTCCTCTTCCTGAAATATGGCTTATGAGGCTGAAGGGTTTCTAGTTCCTCTCTACCTATGTCCTAAAATTCCTCAACAAAGGACACCTTTAGAATGGTGCTTCTGAAAAATTCAAATACCTCAGAGTGACTAGAACTCATCATTGTTTTCAATAAGGATAAAAATGTGTAATTAAGAGAGATGGGAGGGAACAAGTGTCAGAGTCAACATGGATATTACCAGAAAGGTGCAAGAAAGACATGAAAGATATTCCCTTTGGGCTGGGGTTGTGGCTCAGTGATAGAGTATTTGTCTAGCATGTGTGAGGCACTGGGTTTGATCCTCAGCACCATATACAAAATAAATAAAATAAAGGAATTGTGGGCTGAGATTGTAGCTCAGTGGAGGAGTGCTTGCCTTGCATGTGTGGGGCACTGAGTTAGATTCTCAGTATCATATAAAAATAAATAAAGAGGGCTGGGGGTGTGGCTCAGTGGTAGAGTGCTTGCCTCACACGTGTGAGGCCCTGGGTTCGATCCACAGCACCACATAAAAATAAATAAATAAAAATAAAGATATTGTGTCCATCTACAATTAAAAAAAGAAAAAAATTAAAAAAATAAAATAAATATAGATATTGTGTCCATCTTCAACTAAAATATTCATATATGAAGAAATTCCTTTTTACTTTACAATGTTCCCAGAATAAGCCTGAATAGTATGCCAGAGAATGAACTCAGGAGTAAAATTCACAGGCTTTATGACAGTTTTTCTTTCCAGTTGATGTGAAGGTCTGTGGACTTCTTCCTGAAAGCAGAAAGGTTATAGGCAGGGTGCCAAGGCAAAGTCAGTGAACCTAGACCAGTTTCTGGACCTTAGAACGTAATCAATTTTCAATGATCCATGAACTGATTCTAAACAGTGACTAATAAAGTATAAGTAAAAAGTACTTTCTTGAATAAAATTTTCCCTTACTTTCCCTTTCCACCATTCTTGCATCCAGACTGCCCTTTACACCAAAGGATTTAATCATTTCTCCATTCCAGGAGTTGTGAAGCAGAACCACAGGAAGGCAGCTCAGAAAGATCTTCCTGCTCACCTCTAGCAGGGGAGTGGGTGGGGAGGATTGGCTTAAACAGCAGGATGGTGAAGCCAAACTCTCTCTCTCTCTCTTTTTTTTCTTTGTAAACAGTGCTGGGGATTGAACTCAGGGCCTCACACATGTCAGGCACATGCTATACCACTGAGCCACATCCCAGCCCTGACAAACTCAAGAATCTTTGCAGAGTAGACACGTGCTCAATGTTTTAGGAACTCTTAAATTACAGATGTTCCTATTAAATTAAAATATACAGATGCTTTCTAAAATCAAATATAGAGGTGATAGATCATTATTTTCTCTGAATACTGAAATTTAAAATTTATTTTTTTCTATTTTCTTATAAGGTATTCATTCATATGAAAACTGCTGTATATAAAAATTTAATTAATGGAACACAGCACCTTCTGCAGCCATGGTTTCACACCTTGCTTGGATATCACTTTTTGTTCCATCTTGTTCTTAAACTTTTTTGAGGGGTGTGGTGATAGTGGGATTGAACCCAGAGGTGCACTTTCATTGAGCTATCTCTTCTTATTTTGAGATAAAGTCTCAACAAGTTGTATGGGCTGGCCTCAAACTTTGGATCCTCCTGCCTCAGTCTCCCAAGCTGCTGGGATTACAGATGTGTATCATTGTGCCCAGTTTTGCTTTCTAACTTTGAGGTGAGAAATGAGCTCAGTCTTGATTAAGAGGGACATATTACATATTACACCAATACCTTTGGTTCTTCTTCATAAAAATAATCATATCTGGGCTTTGCTTAACTTGTAATAGTTTGGCCTGTTACAGTGAAGATACATAATCATGATACTATGCATATTAATATTAAGTATGATTTTGAGAGAAAGGAGAATAAAGGGAAAATGTTGAAAGGGAATAGATGTATATTAATAAAAGGTAGTTAAGTAGCAGTGGATTACACAGAGATAGAACCTCAGAAAAGAACATTTAGTTACAGACTAGTATCTAATACATTGAAATCAGGACAAACAAAAAGAGCAATTTCACAAGTACAAAGAATATGATGGCTACACATCATTTCACAATGGAAAACAGTGAACAAGAAAATAGGAAACATATTGACAAGCTCAGACATATTTTTAAATGTGCTGCATTTAATGCAATCCAAAGACTACCAAGTTTAGACACTGTGACAACATGCCACTGCCATTTGTGGAAACAATTAAAGCATTTTGCACTGATTGCTCAGTGACCCAAAACAGGCGAACAAATAATTCGACAAAATGGCTAAATGCATCCATAGTAACACACAACAGAACCACCTTCCAACCACAGCATTCTTCCCAGATTTTCAAAGAATTATGGCATATGGACTGGAAGGACACAAAGTGCTTACAGTATTAAATACTAGGATATTTACTTTGGCACAAAATTTGTGTTCCAACCAAAAATTATAATTCTCCTAAAATACATATCCTTAGCAAGGTAAAGACAGACACATTACAAAATCAATATGCCTACATGAAAATAAATAAAGTTACAGTTTTTTTCTTTAGGAACAAACACAAAAACAGAGGAACAGTAACCATTTCAAAATTCAGGATACTACAAGGAAAGCAAAGMACAAAGAAAAACTGCATTGATTAAACAGATCTTCAAAAAACAATTTTGGGAAAATTCATTATTAAAGACAAAAAAATTGTCTTCAACTTTTTTTCTTATTTATAAAGCATCTTTCCTTTAAGTGAGTCTATAGCTGGGGTAGTCCCCGGATGAGCAGATAAGTTTTATCAGCCTTTCTATTCCCTGGGTTGGCCAGAGACAATGCAGASAGTGATCTGAGACCAGCAGGATTGATCACAGGTCTTACTGCCCTGTTGTCAACTTAAAGGAAAGATACCTGTGTTGCTTAGAAAGAAGCTGGGTAGGATCTCTGTACCAAAGATACTCCTCAGCTTTTTTAACATGATTTTTTTAAAAAGTCACCCAAATCAAGGTTTTAAGCAAATGCCTTGAAAATTGAGTATGCATATTTGTGAAGAAGGGGAAAGAGGATGGAAAGGAGAAAGTAAAAAGTCAGAAAGTGTGTTTGGCAGGCTGGGTATGAGATAAACTTTAAGTAATTTTTTTTAGGCTAGTTTCACTCAGACATAACCCCAGCATTATATAGTATGGCCCCAGCTTGCTTTCCAAAAGAATTCTAAGTTAAATATGATAATCTCTTTGCAAGATAAACAATGGATCAAGTGGTAAAGAAAAAATAAAAATGTACTTTTATATATTTGTAATTTTGAGACCAAACCCTACTAATATATTCTCTATACACGGACCATGCTATACAGCTAGAAATCATCAAGCAGGGATGCTTCAAGTGTCAACTTTGTGACAAGTAATGAACTTCCATTTCCCTTTATTTCTAACTAGCATGGATATCTGATTTGCTTTTGGCTTTAAGTCCAACCATAATTGGGCTCATAATGTCTTTTCGCTTTACCTCTTTCTGTACATCCTTTGCTTGGTTTTCAGCCTTACTGAGAAGAGTTTTTAAATCAGCTGAATCCCGAAGATGCTGCTCTTTCAAGGATCCCACTTGGTTCTCAAGTTCTTTCCTAGTCATCTGAAGGATGCTGAGATCACTGGTAAGCTCTAAACTCTGCTTCTGAGAACTGCAACATAAATATCAACAGTCACTCACAGGTAGAAACTGGACACAGCAAGAAGTCCAAGTTCTTAAATATTTCACTAGGTGAGACAGGATTTCAGAGGAGGAAGGAAGTTTAAAACACAGAATGAGACTTTTTCAATAAATAAAAAGCATTAAAACACCCTGAAAGCTAAAATCAAATAATATATAAAGGTTGAAATTTTAAAAATAGAAGCCAGGAGTGGTGGTGCGTGCCTATAATCCTAGTGATTTTGGAGGCTGCAGCAGGAGGAGCTTAAGTCTAAGGCCAGCCCCAGCAAGTGAGTGAGTCCTTTTTACTTTTTAAAATTTTTTAAAATTTTGGTACTAGGAATTGAACTAAGAGGTGCTTTATCACTGAGCCGCATCCTTTACATCCCTAGTCCTTTGTATTTTAAGGCAGGGTCTTATTATTTGTTTAAGGCCTTGCTAAATTGCTGAGGCTGGCCTTGAACTTGTGATTTTCCTGCCTCAGATCCCTGAGCTACAGTGAGTACCTTTCTTAAAATAAAAAATGAAAGGGCTGGGGATGTACCTCAGTGGTAGCCTGTGGGTTCAATCCCTAGCACTGCAAAATAAATAAACAAACAAACAGATAAATAAATAAATAAAACAGGAGGTTATTATATATTTTGCTTTATAAAATTATATTAATTGTATCATTAAAAGATTGAAGTAAGTCTTCCCTAGAAAAAGAATATATACATTTCAACTACTTTCTTGTATGTTTAACAAATATTATGGCAAATATTATGGGTGGAAAGAACTTAAAAGCTTGGTGTTACTATCAACTTATAAAGATAAACCTGCTCAAATGAGAAGTAACATCAAACTGGGAGAAATACATGGGGTAAAGAACTAGGAAGCTGTATCTAGATCCTGGCTCTGTTACTATTTAACGGTGGGATGTTGAGCAAGTCAATTAATGGGTACATTTTATTCTTTGTTTATTTATTTATTTGCAGTGTTGGTGATCAAACCCAGTGAGACAAGTGCTCTACCACTGGGCCACATTCCCAGCAATACATTTTATTCTTTCTTTTTTAAAAATATTTTTTAGTTGTTGATGTATCTTTCTTTCTTTATTTATATGTGATGCTGAGAATCGAATCCAGTGCCTCAAACATGCTAGGCAAGTGCTCTGCCACTCAGCCACAACCCCAGCCCCACATTTTATTCTTTCAACAAACATTTCTTGTGCTTAGACCTGTGCCAGGTACTATGTTATACAGATACAAATAACAAAAGGGAAGTGTCAATGTTYTTCAATATCAAACAAGAGGGCTGAACTCAATAATTTCTGAAGTTTAAATTATATAAATACTTTATAATTTGGTATAAAAATATTATTTACACATGAGGAAAATAGCTTGATATGCGTAAATAAAAATTCCTTGTTCAAGCCGGGTCTGGTGGTGCATACCCATTATCCCAGAGATTGAGGCAGGAGAATCACAATTCAAGGCCAGCCTGGGCAATTTTACTGAGATCCTATTTCAAAATTAAAAATAAGAGATGCACATCAGTGGTACAGTGGTTCYTAGCATGTCTGAGGCCCTGGGTTAAATCTCTAGTACTACAAACAAACAAACAACAAAAAGGTAAGGTTTTTAAGGTGTCAGTGTATGGTCTTTCAAAATGGATCATAAGAATCAGAATCAGATTTAATATTGTAACTGAGATATGATACAGTATAAATTCTATCCTGACTATATCAGATTATATGATAGACAGATTCTTAGGGGTGATTCTGATGATGTCAGGGCAATACAGCTAGGAACTCAATGGCATATAAGACCTTGTAGTGGCTCCTTTTCCTAGAATCCCGAAAAATAGATCATTGGTCATCTGAATAAACTTCATAGAGTATATAAGATAGATTAATTCTGTTTCTTAAAATTTCTGATGCAGTTCTCTAAATTTATTTGGTAAGCCTCCCCAGAATTTAAGTAGTATTTAGAAGGTAGCCTTCTTTTATGGGATTTTTTTTTTTTTTTTTTTTTGAGCGAGGACGTAACTGGGGATTGAACCCATGGTTGCTTTACCACTGAGATACACCCCCAGTTCTTTTTACTTTTTATTTTGAGAGAGGGTCTTGCTAGGTTGCTTTGGCTGGCCTCAAACCTCTTGCCTCAGCCTCCCAAACTTCTGGGATTACAGGCATGTATCACCATGCCTGACTGTTCCTTTTTTTGACCTGGGCTTCACTATGTTCCCCACAGTTTCAAACGTCTAGACTCAAGCAATCCTCTACCTCAGCCTCCTGAGTAGCTGGGACTACAGATATGTCATGATGCTTGATTGGAGCCTAGTATTTTTAGGCCATATAATCACAAAGAGTCTGCAGATTTGTTTTTCAACACTTTCTTTAAAATATCAATATTTCTAAAACAAGAATAATTAAAATAATCAACACTAATAATTAAACACTGTTATTTCTTGCTTGCTAGAATATCAACCTAACTGGATTTACCAAGTTCCTACTGTTTTCTAAACATGAAGAACTTTGATATCTGTGCATCATTTTACACACATTTTATACCAAATAATTTGTCCAAATGTGTTCTCTTACACACACACACACGTAAATATTTATGTTTTGGGCCTTTATTATGTCTTATTCATATATATGTATATATGAATAAATATATATTTAATATGTAAATATTATATTTAGTATACAAAATAATATATTTTATACACACAACTGTGTGTGTATAAATAGCTTTTTTTTTTTTTTTTTTGTTAGCAGGGATTGAACTCAGGGGCACTTGACCACTGAGCTACATCCCCAGCCCTATTTTGAGTTTTATTTAGAAACAGGGTCTCACTGAGTTGCTTAGCACCTTGCTTTTGCCGAGACTGGCTTTTAACTTGAGATCCTCCTGCCTGAGCCGCCTGAGCCTCCTGAGCCRCAGGGATTACAGCTTTGTGCCACTGCATCTGGCTATGTCCTATTCATATTTTTGAAGCGCTTTTATGAACTTTTATATATTATAAACAAACATCTGTGTTATTCTTTATTATTAATTATCTTCCCACATTCAAAAAGTAACACAAAAAGTATATGAAAAGATTAAGGAAAAGTTATAACACTAGAAGAGAAAATAAAAGTGCTTTATAGATACTTATATTGCAAATGCATGGCATTGTAAGGAGGAACTGCAGAGAAGAAATCAGTACCTCTTGTACCTTCAGTTAGTTAGTTGTTATTTATTTATTTACTTTGTCACTGGGTTACATTCCCAGTCCTTTTTATCTTATTTTTTTAAAAATTTTGAGACAGGGTGTTGCTATTTTGTTGAGGCTGGCCTTGAACTTGTGATTCTCTTGCCTCTGCCTCCCAAATTGCTGGGATTACAAATGTGTGCTGCTGAGTCCAGCAATTCTTAATGTTTTAAATGTATAATCAACATTACAGTTGTTTTTATAAACAGGAAAAAAACACATTATTTTCTGATATAGCTAGTACTGTCATTATTTTCCTCTAAGGTTTGTTTTTTATTTTTGCTAAACTTAATGCTCTCTAGGAATGAAAACACAAAAGTTAATAAGACAGTGATTTCCATTTTTGGGTGGTGGAGGAGGGAGCTGAAATTAATTAAGAGTGACTTCAAAAAGAAATGTTAATTTTCATAATTCTGAATTAGAACACAAACATTGATTTAAAAATTAACATTAATTACTATGGACCACATTTTAAAGAAACCAATTTTGCATTTTACTTAAATATGGCAAATGTTGGTGGTAAAACAGGACTCCACTTAATTTGTTGGTGTAAAGCTGTTGCATTTATCAGTTTGCTTGCAAGGTACTGGATACTTGAAAGATTTAGTTGATTATAGTTCAAGTTCAATGACTAATTATAGACCTTTGTTGTTTGTTTTTTGGTGAGGAGAGGACATTTAATGAATCTGTATTCCATGTCTACACCAAAAGGAAAGTACATGTAGGATGATGGTGGTGGAAGAAAAATATGAAGAGGTATTTATTTATTAGCATGGTTACCCAGCTAAAACCCAAACAGAGTTTGGTTGAACATTTTGCTCCCAAAAGGTATTTAAGTATCAAAATTATATTTAATTTAGATAAAAATTTAAGATAATTTTTTAAAAATATATTTTTTAGTTGTAGATGTACACAATATCTTTATTTTATTTACTTATTTATTTTTATGTGGTGCTGAGGATTAAACCCAAGGCCTCACACGTGTGAGGTAAGTGCTCTACCACTGAGCTACAACCCCAGCCCCTTAAGACAAATATTTTTAAGTTAATAGAGTTCTTGCATACTTGTGCAATTCTTTTTCTTGCCGCTGCAGTTCTGATGACAGCAAAACATTTTCCTTTTTTAGAGAATGGCACTCGGTTTCCAATACATTCCATTCCTTTCTCAACTTCTCTAGTTCACCTAAAATAGTCCCAAAACATTTTATTAATACAGAAACATAACTTCTATTATTATTCAAAGGATAAAAGGAAATATTTTAGAGAACATACTCCCCGCCCCTCAACTAAAGCATGTGTAGTTTTACATGGCTTTAAAAAAAATTTTTTTTTAGATGTTGATGGACCTTTATTTTATTCATTTATTTATATGTGGTGCTAAGAATCAAACCCAGTGCCTCACACATGCCAGGCAAGCGCTATTACTAAGCCACAACCCCAGCCCTACACAGCTATTTTTTTGATTCTTGTTACTTTGCATTTATACCTCAAGGAAGTTCCATCATCTTAAATAGTATTTTTTTTCTACTTCACTTTTGTAAAGACAATTTTTAATACTATATAATTTTTAAATGTATAGTACAGAATTGTAAAAATTGCAATTTATTGTATAACTTGTAGAATAAGATTATATTTATAGCCCCATTATACTGCTTCATATAATTGATTGCTGTCAAAGAGAAAAACATGCTTGGTTATTCTGTTTAAGTAATAATGTTATCTTTGTCAGGAGTTAAGAGCTTTATGTAAATAAAATATTTACTCACTTTGCAATCTTGTTGCTTCCACTCTCTGCTGGTCTTCGCACTGTTGACATCGAAGCTGAAAACTGTTCTGCAGACTTGTGATTTCTTTCTCATACTCAGATGCGGCTTTCCTCCACCGCTCAAGCTCAGCTCGMACCTTCTTAAGCTCATCTTGTAAAGAAATAATGTCAGTGTCCCGCTCAGAAGCAGCCTTTGCAGCTGCTTGATGAAGCAGCAAAATTTCATCTCGGGCACTAAGCAATTCATCTCTAGTGCTTGTGATTTCACCGTCTTTCTCTTCCCGGAGATTTTCAATATCAATGTGTAACCTCTGCAGCTGGCCTACAAAAGTATATTTATCTATTATTTTATTAGTCCACAGAAAATGATTTTATTAAGAATAAAATAACCCAATAAAGGATTATTGCTACTGCACAGCCTACCTGTCAGAGCTGTTGCTGTTAAGTAAATTATATATAAACAATCCACATTTGATGCAGAAAATGCCAAAATACAAGAGTGTGTGTGTGGGGATGATCTTTATTTCCCCCACACAGAGAAAATTAATTCTCACATTTTTGGTATTTTCCAGCTTATTCTTACATCTTTATATGCAATACAAAAACATTAAGGAGGGGTCATAATATATATAACACTAAATATATATATTATGGTTTATATCCTCCAGCTGATGAAAAATCTTTCAACAAAATAGTTATTCTGTTATTTATTTAACTAATCCTTCATTTTAGACATTTTAGGCTTTCAATTTTTAATCATTACATACAATCCTGCTCATAATGCAATCCTGATAATGTTCTTAGCATGAATCATGGAGGTGGAATTGCTTGGTCAAATGGTAAGCTTTAAACATTTGATGTTAATAAGATTCATTTTTCTGTTCAAATGTTCCTTAAATTAAAAATTTCCTTAAATTAAAAATTCCTTAAAGAGGTCTTCTTTGATGACTTATCTAAAAATTAGCTATACTTCATTCTGTAGTCCTTTACTCTGCTTTATTTTCTTTCAAAGCTTTTATAGGATAACACATTACATATTTTTTGTTTACTGTTTATCTTTTGTACTAGAAGATATACCTCATGTGTACAAGGGCCTTTGTTTTGCTCACTGCTCTATCCCAAATATCTGGCAGTGTGAACAATAAAAAACTATTGGTTGAATTAATGAACTTACAGAATTAATGAATTTTATCTCTAAATTAAGAGGTGTGTTTCTAAAAGATCAGATCTTGAGCCCTGATGACCCAGTCTGGAAACAATCTGTATAAAGTCATATTTGGCTCAGAACCAGCATACTAGTATTGGTTACCATAACAACAGGAAATTATGAATACAAAAAGTTCCAAAGGATAATAAAATAATTTAAGAGGACTTAGGGCTTGGGGAGAGGGAGGTTGCAATATAAACACTAAAGATGACAATAGACCTTTTAAGTTTGTAGGAAAGATTGAAGTAACAGGTTCAAAATCTTAAAAGGTACAATGGCAATAGATAAGTCTTGTTGATAAATTTTCAAAATATACAAGCTGGCAGTAGAGGGCAGTCAATGATGCCTGGGCAATATAGCTTTAAGATAAATGCAGCACTTTCATGGAACTTTTATTGAAAATTGTTCATACACACTATCTGATGGAAATATATATGTAAATCAATTTATATGAGCTAAAGGATAAATGGCATTAAACTACAGTAAGAATTTAAAGAGTTTTCAATTTTAAAACATATAGACAACCTACCCTAGAAATTCTAATTTGACCATAATAAAATTCAAAAATTTAARTAACTCAAATGTCCCACTTCAAAAATAACAGGACTCAAAAAACTAGTTTTTCTATGGAGTATTTTTGGGTAAATATCAAACGGCTCACATGATGATTCCCCATCTCTTCTGAAGTTTTATTCCTTGTCTATTTAATTTCTTCTCATTTTACCTCTTCAGCTAAAGTTTTAAAATAATACTGATTCCTTCTTTGATAATTAAGGCAGATTAATTTTGCTTTAGGAATTTTACACTGGCACAGGAAAGGAAGATTTCTCCTGGGTTATCTCAGGATTATAGCTCTATAAGACCAGGAATTTCAGCTTGAAGTAGACATTTGGCAGGCAGGGGTCATTCTGGTGATTTCTTTAATGACCCTGTGATAACCCAGAGAGACAGCAAAATGGTATGTGTGAAGAGCAGACATTACCAAYAAAGGCAGTACAGAAACCATTGTTCTATTCCATGTTGTAATATAGGTGTGTTTTGAGCATTATTAGATAAAATGACACCAGCAATATAAAAGTGCAGAGGCACAAGTGTAGCTCAGACAGATTTCCTGTCCAAAGCTTTCTCCTTAGTAACTCATGGCATAAACCAGAAATTGTCAGTCTTACCCAATCCAAATCTTCACCCCTGCTCTTTCCACTCCAGGTGTCTAATAATGGATTACTGGAGAATCTTCCCTTATATCTTCTTTAAGGAAAAAAGCTCCAAGAGCCAAGTTCTGTCAGGTTCTAAAGAAGAACCAAAGCCATAACAAATGGGGACCCTATGTACTTTTATTTTCTATTCCTTTTGAATACTAAAAACAAACAATAACAACCTCAAATAGCCTTGGAATGCTCCATACCTTGAAGAACTTGTATTTGTTTAGCAGATTCCTCAACTTGATTTCTATAGGCTTTTCTTTCTTCTTCCAAAAGAGCTAAAAGTAAAAACACAGTATATCTAATTTCATGAATTAAAGTATACAGAATTGAGCAGCTGAMAATGCCTAAGAAACTCTCCTAAAGCTTACTGAAACAAACAACAGTATTAATACTTAAGCAATAAGTATTATCAGTATTAGTAGTTAGACAGTTCAAAGATTTCAGGAACACAAAACAGTAGTAAATAATAAAGCTATTCAAATGAGTTTTTTTTTTTTTTTGGTTGTTTTTGGTGGTAGGCATCAAACCCAGGGACACTGCCACTGAGCTACATCCCCTGTCCTTTTTATTATTCTTTAAATTTTGAGATAGGGTCTTACTAAATTGCAGAGGCTGACCTTGAACTCACAATCCTCCTGCCTCCTCATCCTGGGTCAATGGGATTACAGGTATGGAGTAGTACAGTTTCTAGACATCCTACTACTAAGATAGTATCTGGTATTTTTTAAAAATATTTATTTTCTAGTTATAGGTGGGTGCAATATCTTTATTTTATTATTTTTAAAATTTTTATGTGGTGCTGAGGATCAAACCCAGTGCCTCACGCATGCTAGGCTAGCACTCTACCACTGAGCCCCAGCCCCAGCCCAGTATCTGGTATTTTTCATAAGAAGCATTCTTCATAACTGTTAATCATCCATTTTTAGCTTATATTTAAAAAATATATTATATATATATATTTTAAAAAAATATATATTTTTTAAAAAGTCTTAAAATCCTCATGTTTACTGCCAAGTACATAGTAAGCACCAAACTAAACTGTTGCTTACAGCTAAATATAGTTTCATTGTAATTAAATATATTAGCTGGACAGGCATGGTAGTTCATGCATATGATCCCAATGATTTGGGAAGATGAGACAGGAGGATCCCAAGTTCAACACCAGCCTCAGCAACTTAGTGAGACACTGTCTCAAAAGATTAAAAGGGCTGGGGATGTAGCTCAGTGATCAAGAGTCCCTCTGGGTTTAATCCCCAGTACCCCCCTGCTCTCCCGCTCATATTCTCTCTCTCTCTCTCTCTCTCTCTCTCACACACACACACACACACACTGCCTGGATATTCAAAAAGTTTCAAGTTAAAGGAACACTGCCAATTCTTTTGTTTTTCTTTTCTTTTTGTTTGATAGTTTTGAGGATCAAACCCAGGGCCACAAACATGCCATGCAAGTACTCTTCCATTGAGCTAGGTCACTATCTTTAAGATACCAATTTCTTTATGAAGCAGGGAATAATAATAATAAGTTTCCAGTTTCTTCCTGGGATGTTAATTTTCTTCCTGATCAGGAAGACCATCTTAGAAAACATGAGAACTCCATAGGTCATTCACTTTCTCATTTCAAGATGCTCCATGATATTAATTAACTACAAAAAAGGTAATTACTGTGAGTAAGTACAAGCTCTGGGGAAACAGCAGAGACTCTACTGGTTTGTGACACTGATAAGTGAGTTACTAGGAAAGAAAGTGGCCTGGAATGTTAGATGATTCTATGCCATAATCTTGCTTGGTTCCTCTTATTTACTGAAGAATATACCAAAACATCAGAGGGAACATARATTTCCCTTGTCTTTGTACTGAATATCTAAAGTTACATGTAACTAAAACTTAGAAATTTATTTTATTTTATGTTTTCTCCTTTTGTTGCACAGATTGAGCATCCCTCATCTGAAAATCTGAAATCTAAAATGCCCTGAAATCCAAAACTAGTGGTTAAGATCACATACATATATGATAAAATTGTGGACCTGGAACAAGGACCCACACTTCTGGACTCCAAGATTGGGGCCACCTAGCCATATTGAGCTGCCTCCTCACATCCCCTGACAAATCAAAGTAATCTTGATCTCACCTTGAAGTTCAAAGCATTTTTGTTTACTTGCTCTAGCTAGCTCCTGGGCTTCAATCAATTCCTTGCGAAGATGCTGAATTTCTTGTTTTGCCTCAATTTCTGACTGCGCACCCTGCAAGTCATCTGACAGAAACATGTTTAATTTAAAAGCAAGAGTTAGTATCACAACAATCTCTACAATCAAAGACTGGCAATCTTTTTTCATATTTAGACATGCATAGTTAAATAACAGCATAACTGAGTTAAGTAAAATTTAGAAGCAAACTATAGTAAGCATAAAAAAATTATAGTAAGTATTTTAGTCATTTTACCCTGGAGAAAGAATACAAATACAGTTATATAAACAAACAAAATGATTATGCACACATATATTAGTAATTCATGGTAATGGAATTAAAAAATACATATATTAATATATATTAAGTGATATATTTCACTCATGTACTGCTGATACAAGACTGGAATTCCATAAAATAGGCATAATGCCATTCACTGATTTTAAAACTTATGATAAGTCAGAAAAATTTCATTTGGAACTTAACTGGAAATAGAAATACAAAATAAACTTTTCTTCAAGAAGAAAAAAAGAAACATAGAAACAGAAAGAAAAAGGAAGGAAGGAAGGAAGGAAGGAAGAAAGGAGGGAAGGATAGAAAAAAGAAAAGAGTTTAGCATCATTATCTCAGTTACATAACAAAATAAAAACTGGGGCTGGGAGTTCTAGTGAGCCTACTTCATCATCACCATTTCCCCAACTCTACACACATAACAGATCAATATATGTTGAACTATTAATGATATAAGTGGTTTTACTGAAATAAATTAAATCTAGCATTACATCTCAAATATGACACTTCCCATAACCACTTTCCTCTCTGGTTTCACTGCTCATCTTTCATTCTATTAAATCTTTCTGCTACTGATGGATAAACAAATCAGGCAAGCCATATTCTTCTATTGCATTCTATTTGAGAATGACTTTATTTTACAGGTACTTCAGCCATAAAAACTTTGGTCCTTCAAAATAGATCTCAGAATATTTCTTCACAATTAAATTATCGTAGGTCTCATGGGGCTGGGGTTATGGCACAGTGGCAGAGCACTCRCCTAGCATGTGTGAGGCCCTGAGTTTGATCCTCAGCACCACATAAAGATAAATAAATAAAGGTATTGTGCCCTCTACAACTAAAAAAAAATTWAAAAAAATTATAGTAGGTCTCAGATATTACTTATATGCATGTATTTTCATACTCATAGGTCACATTCTATTTTCCCTGTCAAAAATTTTGATTCTGGGTTCATTTATGCTAGTCAATCTATCAATTTGTATTTTAAAAGCTCTTTTGGTCAGGGTGGGGAACACAAGCAGAAATTTTTTAGTGGCAGAGACACTGTCATACCAGCTACAAATTTTATTTGACAACTCTTTCCATACTGTCTGTTGAAGTCTGCAAGGTCCTGGTCTATGTCTCTGGATTTAGTCATCATGTAAGGCAGTGCCCTAATATTCAGGAGTATTTAAGAAACAAGTGTTGGGCTGGGGTTGTGGCTCAGTGGTAGAGTGTTTGCCTGGCATGCATGAGGCACTGGGTTTGATCCTGGGAACCAGATAAAAATAAAATAAAGATATTGTGTCCACCTAAAACTAAAAAATAAACTTAAAAAAAAGAAAAGAAACAAGTGTCATGATGCCTGTATCTTACTTTCAAGTGGTTTGACAAGAAAAACAAACAAACAAACAAACAAACAAATCCTACTTAAAACTGTTGAGTAAATATTTTCCTAGCTGTGTTAATTTCAACCTTTGCACGACAGATATTTTGGGTTGAATAATACTTTGCTGTGGTGGCTTCTCTATGCATCGTGGGATATTTAGTAGTTTCCCTGGTCTCTACCCAGATGTCAGGAGACCTCCCTGAATCATAACAAATAAAAATGTCTTCAGATATTGCCAAATGTCCCCTAGTAGGTAAAGGTCCCATGTCAAGAATTACTGCTCCAACTTGATAAACATAAAAAACAAACAAACAAAAAACAAAACAAGCAGACCTACATATGGCTTTCTTTTCCACAGAAACATTGGCCAATAATTCAATAATTTTTTTTAATGGGAGGGGGTAATGGGGATTGAACTCAAGGATGCTTTACCACTCAGTTACATTCCCAGTTCTTCGTATTTTTTAATATTTATTTATTYATTCATTCATTCATTYATTTAAATTATAAATGAACATAATAATTTTATTTTATTTATTTTTATGTAGTGCTGAGGATTGAACCCAGGGCCTAACRTGTGCTACACAAATACTCTACCACTGAGCCACAACCTCAGCCCTTATTTTTTATTTTGTAACAGTGTCTCGATGAGTTGCTTAGGGCCTTGCTAAGTTGCTGAGGCTGGCCTTGAATTTGTGATCCTCCTGCTTTAGCTTGCTGCATCACTAGGATTATATAGGTGTATGCCTCTGTATCCAATGAATCTATTTCCTGTGTATTCTAAAAACAATCATAGAACTATATTGTGGAGCCAAGCATGGCAGCACACGTTTGTAATCCCAGTAGGCTCAAAAGGCTGAGGCAGGAGGTTCTTAAGTTCAAAGCCAGCCTCAGCAACTCAGTGAGTCCCTGAGCAACTCAGGGAGACCCTGTTTCACAATAAAAAAGGGCTGGGGAGCTGGGGTTATGGCTCAGCGGTAGAGCGCTCGCCTCGCATGTGTGAGACCCAGGTTCAATCCTCAGCACAACGTAAAAATAAATAAACAAAATAAAGATATTAAAAAAATTAATATGAATTTGTGTGATACTATGTAAATAAACATACATGTAATTATGGAGGTGTGCATATAAATATGTACCCACATCTATTCCTCCCCTCCCCACTTTTTCCTGTTTACAGTGCTGGGGATTATAAATCCAGGGCCATGTATGCACTACATAAACAGTCTACCAAGGAGCTACATTCCCAGCCCTACACATCTATTTCTTAAGTCTGTCTATTGAGTGGGCTTAGAAGAAACGACACACCAGTAGCAATGAGGACACCAAACAYTAAAGATCTTGGTTTCTAAATACCATTTTCTCCCAGAGTTCTCTGAAGAAATGGTTGATTTTAGGGATAAGAGAGAAAAAGTACAAGATGAACCTAAAATAACTTTTGGGCCAGAAGTGAGAAAGAGATAAAAGAAGGACTGGGTTATGTAAAACAAAACAAAACAAAACCCAAATCTCTCCTACTAGCCAAATGTATGACAAGCTGAGCATCAAAGCAAATGACAGTGACAGAGTATATAACAGAGTTTATGACAGAGTATATTAAATTATAACTCATAAATAAATGAGAAAATTTAAAAAAAAGACATAGTAAAAAGCTTGCTGATACACATAGAAGGAATGATAAAATTAAGAAATCACTATTTGGCAACTATTAAGGTAATGATTCATCAGGCAAGAATCATCAGTAGATGCTAAAACTAAGTGGTTAAAATTCTTAGAGGTGCTGGGCACAGTGGAGCACTCCTGTAATCCCAGCAGCTTGGGAGGCTAAGGCAGGAGGATTGTGAGTTCAAAGCCAGCCTCAGCAAAAGTGAGGTGCTAAGCAACTCAGTAACACCAAGTCTCTAAATAAAATACAAAAAGGGGCTGGGGATGTGGCCTAGTGGTTGACTGCCCTTCGAGTTCAATTCCTGGTACCAAATAAATAAATAAATAAATAAAAATAATAATAATAAATAAAAAAAATAAATGTTTGAGAAGTTGGGCTGAGGATGTGGTTCAACGGTAGGGTATTTGCCTGGCATGTGTGAGGACCCAAATTCAATCACCATTACTGAGAAAATTAAAAAAAAAAAAAAAGTCTGAGGGGTTAGACTTTTACATAGTCTTAAAATAGCTCTGCACAAGAAATAGTTAAAAATAGAAAATAATAACTTTATACTGGAGAAACCAGGGAGACAATACCTTAATCATATGCTCAAAGGTAACATCACCAGTGCACAATTCAATATCAGGTATCTCCTGATATAATAATACCTAATATTACTTTGTTGATCTTGCCAAAAACTCATGAATTTAATTATGAGGAAACATTAAACATATAAACAGAAGAACATTTTAACTGTCTTGTGCTCTTGAAAAATATCAATTTCATGAAACAGAGAAAGACTGAAGTGGGCTAGAGTACAGCTCAGTTGGTAGAGTACTTGCCTTGCATGCACAAGGCCCTGGGTTCAATCCCTAGCACCACACACACATGCATACACACACCACACACACACACACACACACACACACACACACACACACACACACACAAAGACTGAAGAACTAACTGTTCTAGGCTAAGGGAGAAAAAAGAGAGGACAATCGAATGCAATGTATCATGCAGGATTGTCTTTTGTCATAAAATACATTATTGAGATAGCTTTCAAATTGTGAATAAGGTCTATAAGATTTGAGAATAGTAGCATATTTCACTGTTAACTTTTACTTTATTTTGAGAATCATATGAAACAGGAACTATGTATTGAAGTATTTAGGAATAAAGGCTATAATGTCTGCAACTGACTCAATGATTCAGGCTGAGAAGAGAGGGAAAAGAAAAGAAAGATTAAAATATTAACAACAGATAGAGGTGAAATGTTAATATTTGGAGAATCTGAACAAGCATATGGAATTCTTTGTTCTCTTACTGCAACTCTTCTTAAGTCTAGAATTATGTCAAAGTAAAAAGTTAAAATAAAAATTTCTGGGGCTGAGGTTCTGGCTCAGTGGTACAGTGCTTGCCTAGCATGTGTGAGGCACTGGGTTTGATTCTCAGCACCACATATAGATAGATAAATAAAATAAAGGTCCAATAACATCTAAAAGAATAAAAAATAAAAAATAAATTTCTACATGTGATAAAACAAGAAAAACCAGGTGTGGTGGCACATGCCTATAAGCCTAACAGCTCAGGAGGCTGAGACAGGAAGACTGCCAGTTCAAAGCCAGCCTCAGCAATGGTGAGGCGCTAAACAACTCAGTGAGAACCTGTCTCTAAATAAAATACAAAAAACAGGGGCTGGGATTGTGGCTCAGTGGTAGAGTGCTCACCTAGCATGTGTGGGGGGGTCCTGGGTTTGATC